ATTTACTCCAATATTTTACTTTGTAATTCTATATATTTAGTTTATGCCTTTAAGGGTCTACAGGTTTTGCTAGACTGCCAAATGGATCCATGAATCACAAAAAAATTAAGCACCCCTATACAAATACAAACCATATTTGTTGTTGATTTTATAGGGAAAAAAAGAAGAAATGATAATGTAGAAAGGACAGAAAACAACCAATCCTTAAGAAAAGTTAACACAGTGGGATTTAGAGCACATGTAGAAGGAGTGTCATTTCATAAAAGGAGAAAGAGGCAAGGTGCAGTGACTTTTGCCTATAATCCCAGCACATTGGGAGGTCGAGGTGGAAGGATCACTTGAGTGAGGGTCAGGAGTTTGAGACCAGCCTGGGAAATATAGCAAGACCTTGTCTCTACAAAATAAACAAACAGTTGGGTGTGGTGGCACACTGTAGTCCTAGCTCCTCAGCAGGCTAAGGCAGGAGGACTGCTTGAACCCAGGAGTTAGAGGTTGTAGTGAGCTGTGATTGCACCAGTGTACTCCTGCCTGGGCAACAGAGCAAGAGCCTGCCTCTTAAAAAAAAAAAAAAAAGTTGGGGTTGGGTGGGAAGAGTACCTCCAATATGATAAGGAAACAGATAGAAAACATCATAAAGAAATAGTAGATTTGGTGATGGGAGAGTGAGGATCAACATGTTTGATGGCTTAAATTTTCTAAATGTAGTTAAAATGTAAGGTTATTTATCTTACCTGAAGAGATCCTCGGGACTAATCCATCATGACATGTCCCTGTTGACTGTAGACACCATGGGAAGTATTGAACCACCCCAGGTCAACAATCAATACTTGGACTCATATCCCATATGGCTCTGTACAGCCCCCAATCTGACTCCACCCTCCCAGATGTCTCAAACCCTTCTGCTAAATCCTCTGGAACGTCATTACCCAAACTGCTCTAATTTCAACCTCTTTTTCTCCAGGTTCCTTTATCTTCTTGCTCTAATTAAAACCAGATTGTCCCTCAAGACTACTGTTTCTCTACCCTTAGACATCTTTAATGGGTTTGCTTTTTCACTCTGAACTCACATGTGAGGAAGATATGTTCATTGATCCTTTTTGCCTCTTCCTGACTAATTTTCTCTCTCTTCACACTCACCTACCCAATTAATATTTAATAAAACAAAATTATAAAAATAAAACTATAGCTACTTGAAGTTCATGTGATCACAATCATATATCTGCTGCCCTCCTTCCTGTAGTCATGTACCATTATTCTTCCCCATATTCTCCTCATTAATCAAAGATTTTTTTCACCTAAATTACTGTCCTTCTCTTCACAAAGATGATTCACCAACCACGACCCTGGCAAATCAATGCCCTATCCTCTACTGCTTCAGTGATCTGGTCCTTCAGGTCAACCTCAGCCACAAACTCTGATGTCACTTCTTCAGCTCTGCAGTGCAATATGGTAGCCACTACCCACAACTGGTTATTGAGCCAGAAATATGGACAGCGGGCATTTTATTTGGGTGTCTTGTCATATATAACTGCCCCAGAAAAATCTTTTCCTAACCTCCCTGCTCTACCTACCAACCTTTTTACTCTCTTATCTCCTTAAGCTACTTTATTTTTCTTTATAGCACTTGTCATACCAGGTACTATAGTATTT